TTTTTTATATATATTTTTTTTATATATGTATATTTTTTTGTACATATGTACATATATATTTTTTTATATATATTTTTGATTCATTTTTTATATATATTTGTTTAATTTTTTTTTTAAATATTTTTATAAATATTTTTTTAAAATTTTTTTTTGATGTTTTTTATTTTATTTATTTATTTTTTGTTCTGATGTATTTTATTTTATATATTTATTTTTGTTCTGATGTATTTTATTTTATATATTTATTTTTTGTTCTGATGTATTTTATTTTATTTATTTTATTTATTTTGTTTATTTTTTTGTTTTTAATATTTTTAATACATAAAGTCTGTTTCATTAATTCCAGATATTTTTTTAATACAAGTATTTTATTCCATTATATCTATGTATGTGCATATGTATACTATACATACATATTGTATGTAGTATGTATGTATATGTTTGAATAAAATGCTTCTAAGATGTATGTAAGTACTATGTTATGTTTGCAGAAAAATTTGTTTAAATTGCAATAAAATTAGTCGCTGCACTTTTTAAAAAAATTATTTCATTAACGCCGCGAGTACACCGTAGTATCACTATGGTGAAAAGACCAACAACCCAAGTGTTAACAATTAATGTAATTCCTTAAACCCACCACCACTAGCATTGAAATGACGTCAATGAATGGAGGAAGGTACCACTTCCAAGAAAGCCGGTATTAATCAGGATTAAGGGTTGTTATAAGGCCATCTAACTCCATATATTCCGATGAACTCAATAACTTAAAGCTGTTCTATAAAAGTATATTGGCACGCATCGAGACTCATGATATTGAGTCTAACCAAGGCAGATTATTTTTGTAGCCTGTGTAAGAAATTTTAACTATAACTTCGGGAAGGAATAACATAGCAATTGATGGATACACCTTAAGATCTGATAATGCTTTAAAATGCGTCTATGGGGACCGAGTCGGACTAAATATTGTAAGGACTGTCCATATTGTCATGTCAATACGAGTTGGGGTAGGTAACCAGCAGCTTTAAACTTACGGAATGCATAGTCTAAGATATATTAGCAGAGGCCTCGTTCCCACGACAGTTGGTCTACTTAATCAGAATGGACTCGGACTTTAATCTCGCCATTAAAGTCTTGCATTCTTCCAAATTAACAGCAGATAACAGTGAACCATTACACATTCCAAGGAGCTTCAAAAAGTAGACTACTATATGCCTGTGACACCGCAGCCATTACACTGCGCCGGCAAGCCACACTCATTATTCAAGGATAATCAAAAACGTCATAACTTTAAAGCTTTTATATGAAATTAAGGAGAGTGTGCCTGAAGCATTTGCCGATAAAGTTCTAATATCGTTTTACAAGTGTGACCAACCACCAAGATAGACAGAGATTTATTTTTTAGGGATAAAAGATTTTATTCGTCATTTTTTCTGTTGTCGTCATGTACAATTGGGCTAAGAAGTTAAAAACAAACATAAAATATTTAATTATAGAAACAATTGTTAAAGGGCTTTAAGATTACTTGTTCAGGCATTACATAATCAAGTCATTTGTGTTGCGCTAGCGGTTATGAAGTTTACAAAGTTATTTAGTTCTATTTAACGCGAGATATCTAGTGACGTCTGCTGGGGCGCACGTGAGCACGAGCTTGATCGGGATTACCATAGGCGATGGCGTGACTGGTGGCAGCACCACCCTCACCAGTGCTGAAGGAGTTGGCAATGGCGATGGCACCACCGGTAGCGCCACCAAAGTCGACAGGGAAGAAAGTGCCAGCTGGCAATGGCTTGGCGGCCTTTGAGCAACCGGCGCAACCAGCCTTAGCGGGCTTTCCGGCAACTGGACGACGAGCAGGTACTTTAGGAGCGACTGGCACTGGGGCGTAGACATCATCCTCCTCAACATCTTCGTCATCTTGCACAGCAACGGCGTTATCGGCATCATCTTCAGCATCGGCAGCTTGTTCCAATTCAACAATAACCTTCTTCTTGTTGGCTGGCAAGTAACGTCTGACTGGTTTAGCTGGAGTAACGGGAGCAAGTGGTGCTGGAGCGGGCAATTTAACATTCACATCAATACCCTTTGAGGCGACAGCGCTGCCAACAGCAGGTGCTTCCGATTCAGCAGAACCGGAGATACCAACCGACACGGTAGCGGTACCAGCATCAGCGACAGCGGGACTCTCAACTTCAGCAACAGTAGCAGCTTCACCAGCCAAATTAACCTCAACATCAGCGGCACCAACAGCGACAGCTGGAACATCGTAAGTGTATTCGCGGCCTTCCTTGGCATCATCGTCGCTGACCTCAGCGCTGACAGCGGGATCCAAATCAACTTGTACGGTTACTTTGTGTTGTTCCTCAGCAGATGCGACAGCTCCGGGGTAGGCCTCAGCAACAGAGTGAGCAACATGAGCACCAGCAGCGGCGATAGCATCATCTTGCACTTCACCAGAGAAGCCAGCGGCTTCAGCGGGTCCAGCAGCAGCAACAACACCATCGGTGGCTCCTGTGTGGACACAATCTTTATTGGGCGTTTATGATATTCAAATATTTTTATAAGGGTTATGGGCATGCTGATAGAGTGTGGTAATAATAAGCGCTTTACTCACCTTGCAGGTAAGTGCCAGTGGCAACTGAATCGCCAGCAACGAGTGCGGCAGCAGCTTGGTGAGAGCGGGCAGCACCGAATGTGGGTTGAACGTAACGCATGAACATCATGCGCTGTGGTGTGGCATAGTATGGGGCCGCAGCGGGTTGTTGATAGTAGGCCAACCCTATAACAGTGGCAGGAAGGGGAAGTGGTAAATTAGAAAGTATTATTTACGCAAAGGGCATCGTGTGAAATTTAAAGTGTAACTGCGAATTTGAGCTTTGATTAGCCTAAAAGTTCAAAAACTATTTCCAAGGATGGCTTAATCGTTTTTTTTAACTCACTTTTATATAAAAATTATTGAATTTCGGTAGTAAAGTAGTAGTAAATTAATAATTTTGTTATTCAAAAGTAAAAAATTCAAATCTGAATATTTTATTTAAAATTTTAGATTATTTTGACGCTTCGTTTTAGACTTCAAGTTTAAAAGATTCGATCTTTTGTATCAAGTGAGTTTTAAGTTTAAAACAAATTTTTGAATTAAATTCTGCAAATATTCAAATATTGTGTTCCAAATTACTAATTTGTTTTTATAAACAGTATTATAATTAATTATTTATCAAAATATTTTCGAAAATGTTTAAAAACAAATTTTTCAATTTGAAATCGATTTTTGAAAATTGTAATTTGTTTTTATAAAAATAATTATAATTATTTATTAATCAAAGTCTTCGAAAAAAGTTAAAAAATGCATTTTTCAATTTAAAATCGATTTTTGAAAATTGTAGTAGTTTTTATAAAAATAATTATAATTATTTATTAATCAAAGTATTTT